TCCTCCCCCCATTTCCTCATCACAGTACCTTCATCAACCCCTATTTGCCCTTCACAAAGGCCTGATGGGGGAATTCTCCATCCTCAAATGTGGAGGAGGGGCTTAGACACAGACTCATCTTTTTCAGACAATGTGACTGAAATGAGACACTGTAGGTGTGCTGTACACATTACACATCACATACACTATCATAGGACAGAACAAGAAAAGTTATAAATAATCTTCCATTGCACAAAATGATTATAATACGAAAAGCTCCAATTAGTGTTGTCAAAAGACCCGGTATTTCGGTACCAAGTCGGTACTAAAAAAATGAAAACGTTACGGTACCAGGTTTTTTTAAGTACCGGTGGTACCGAGTACCCGGTCAACCCGGTTCTTGATGCGCTATCCGAAAGCTATCCTCTTCCAGTGTTGCCAAGCAGTGGCAGCAGAAATATGACTAAACTTTTGGGTGTAACTTGTTTACTTTTTTCATACTTTTATTACTTGTGGGAAAACTTGAAACACTTTTAAATAAGTATAAAGAATGGCATTGGTTTTGTACATTTAATTTTTGTTTAACGTTATTAATAAAAATGTTGTTCAATTAGCATGTTTTTGTGTTTTGCTTTGGTACCGAAATTGGTACCGAGAACCGTGGATTTTCACTGGTATTGGTACCGAATACTGAAATTTTGGTACCGTGACAACACTAGCTCCAATACAGAGCGGCACAAACGCTTATGCGCATCCCGTGTGCAGAATGATGCGCTTGAAGCAACACTGAGTCACAGCGCGCAGCGCTACGCATAGAGAAGTTCAAAGCACAAAGGAAAGAGATATTGATGCGTAGTTTATTAAATTTGTGCGATAGTTTATAGAGCCTTTTCTTTGAACAGTTTTAAATTTCAGTTACTGTGCGCTCTTGAAGAGAGTTTCATCGTTTTGACTGTCGTAACCGAACGTGACACGCAGTTTGAACGCTAAATGGAGGATGACAGACAGCCGCAGTGGAGCCGCACGACTTAAATATTCATCTGTACCTCACATTAAACTATGGAACTGCTTCAGAACACTTGGACTTTGACTTTATGGTGCTTTATAATGTTTTTGTGCTTTTGTGGGGCTTAACAATAACACAGAATAGTATATGCACAATATTGGATTTGGATCGGTCTCGTCTGACCGATACCCGATCCGGCAGAAAATGCCAGTATCGGAGCCGAGGATCGATGCATCCCTAATCATCAGTATGGGTTTTTCAATAGCCAGTGGTAATGGAGTACAGGACGGACTATGATGGTTAAAATTATATAAAATTACCCATTGATAAACTGTCATCCAAACCATTACTTATAATGTTGACATGACTCATATCATCTCACATGAGATTTAGTGAAAAAGTAGATTGCATAACCTAGTTCTTCATCTTGTTTGTTGTGATTTCGAAGCAGGTTCTTTGACACGGTGGATGAATGCAACCACTGGAATTGTGGGTAGAGAGGTTGACTCATTAGTCTTAGAGTTATGGGAGTGAAGCAGATGGCTTAGGATGTCCCACCACCCACAGAATGAAAGAGAGAATGTTGGATGTAACTGAGAGAGACAGAGACAATGCAGGAAACGGGGATGGTGATGCACAAATATAGACTCTGGACTGCTTGCTATAGCTGTCCTACTTTCTCTTCACAGCCAAGAGCAGGATGGGATACGACATGGTGTGTGTGTGTATATGAGTGTGGCTTTGTTGAATAATTGTGCTGCCCCATCAGTTGTCATATTTATTCTCAGTCACTGCTTAAAGGCCATTGATTCCTGTCTGGGTAAAGGTTTTCAGCACAGTTTAGACCATTTTCAATGCCAAAAAGGAGATCATGCTCCTTTTACGATGGTGTGTAGTAGGCTACTAAGCATTGGCAGAGTGTTACCTTGTGCCCCCATTAAATGCTCTGAGACTAAAATAGCTCCGGATCTATCAACTCTTAAGTTATATGATAGAGTGTTGCAGCCGGAAAGAACCTCTTTGTTAATAGTGTAATGCGTTGTCTGTGCTCAGGAAAAACATCTCCGGAGGTCGTGACTTCATTCTAC